CATTAGACTGATGGCCTAAGGAGTGGGTCGATATGAGGTTCATCCCGAGAGGGTGATCCCTAGTCCCATATCCTAACACTTAGCTCGAGAGAGTGAGTGGGGTAAGGCGTAGGCTGGTTTTCATGCGACAAATGGGTGTCTGACAGGAACATATTTGAAATGGGGTAAGTTGCCCGAGAGGGAACTTATTTCCATTTAAAGCTTAGCCTAATCACTATTATTTTGCAAATCTCCGATAGAAAGCATGTACCCAACAATTTATCTCTACTTGAATTGCGGTCACATCCCAAGAACCTTTTCCCATACTTGAGTTTCTTCCTTATTTTGTTGTTTTAGTACTTGTTACAAAACCCCCTTTCGATATTTGACACTTTTGTGTCACCTGTTTTACATTTACAATGTTGTTTATCGCAAATATCTTTAACTACGACTAACTTGAATGAAATTCTAATTGGTTATTAATTCTCAAAATCGCTCCCTTGGGACACGACCCCAACCGTCGGTTGGGTTACTATATTATTGACGATCGTAGACACTCATATCGTAGGATAGTGTCATTGGTCACAATAAGCATCAAAATGGCGCCACTGCTGGGGAGTGGTGTTATTTGAGAATTTTTAGTTCACTAGAATTTCTGTCTTATTGATCATAGATTATTAACTTTACTCATAGTTTTGTTTTTCTTTGAGTTTTTGATTGTATGTGATCCGAAGGATCATTTGCAAGAATCTCTGTTTTTTTGTAGTTTTATCTTTACTAACTTAATTTTTTGCTTGTTTGTGTTGAAAACAGAAATTATGAGTGAGGACGTGGGGGACAATTGCCACGCCAACAACCCATTGAATATTGACTTGCACCAAGATGACATTGACGATGCAAACAGTGTTTATGATCCCGCTCCATTGGGTGAGATAGGTGCAATTCGCTTGCCGTAGGGTGGTGGAAACAGAAATTTTGAAGTCACTAGCACAACACTCCATCTCATACATTCAAGGGGCCTATACAAAGGAATGGATCATGAAGACTCACATGAACATATCCAAAGTTTTTTGAACGTATGTTCTCCGTTGTCATTCAAAAATTGGTCGCAAGAAGCCATCAAGCTTCACTTATTCCCATTGTCACTGACAGGAGCTGCCACTACGTGGTTGTCTGAGCTTCCCAAAATTTTTATCACATCATGGAAATAATTAGTCACTGCTTTCCATAATAGATTCTTTCCCCCGTCAAATATGATGAAGTTGAGGGACGACATTCAGAATTTCAAACAAAATACGAGTGAACCAATTCATGAGTTGCTACTCCAATATTTTTACCGAAGTCTTGATTCAGTTAACAAAGGGATAGCTGATCAATTGGTCCAAGGAGGCATAATGCTACAGCCCTTTGAGGTGGCCTCATTTCTCCTAGATGGTATGGCAAGAGTAAATCAAGCTTGGTACACCAAAGAAGATCAAGTCTCCCCTCTGTGTTTCAGGCTGACGCAAGGGCAACTCGATAAAGAAAAAGAGAGGGATCAAAACATCAAAAAGATGTTGTCTCAGATGGAAGATTTACAAGAGCACATGAAAGGCAAATGTGAAGTGTTTCGCGCAGAGGGGGGTTCTTTTTCTGATAACTTCAAATCGGGATGGAATCAAGGTCGAAACCACAGAAGGAATGAGGAGGGTTTCCACCCGCACTATCAACCGCGGGTTGGAAATCAAGGTTGGAACTACCCTAGGTGATATTTCCAAGAGTGGACTGAGCATAACGATCAGGAAGAATACCAAACTCAATTGAGTGATAGCACGACATCAAGGGGGACTGACAGCAGCCCTAGGGTGAATGATCTACTGACACAAATTCTTGAGAAAGTTGAAGGTTCTGCTGATTTGCTAAAGGGAATGAGAGATGATTTTTCTTCACTACGAGTGAACCAATTCATGAGTTGCTACTCCAATATTTTTACCGAAGTCTTGATTCAGTTAACAAAGGGATAGCTGATCAATTGGTCCAAGGAGGCATAATGCTACAGCCCTTTGAGGTGGCCTCATTTCTCCTAGATGGTATGGCAAGAGTAAATCAAGCTTGGTACACCAAAGAAGATCAAGTCTCCCCTCTGTGTTTCAGGCTGACGCAAGGGCAACTCGATAAAGAAAAAGAGAGGGATCAAAACATCAAAAAGATGTTGTCTCAGATGGAAGATTTACAAGAGCACATGAAAGGCAAATGTGAAGTGTTTCGCGCAGAGGGGGGTTCTTTTTCTGATAACTTCAAATCGGGATGGAATCAAGGTCGAAACCACAGAAGGAATGAGGAGGGTTTCCACCCGCACTATCAACCGCGGGTTGGAAATCAAGGTTGGAACTACCCTAGGTGATATTTCCAAGAGTGGACTGAGCATAACGATCAGGAAGAATACCAAACTCAATTGAGTGATAGCACGACATCAAGGGGGACTGACAGCAGCCCTAGGGTGAATGATCTACTGACACAAATTCTTGAGAAAGTTGAAGGTTCTGCTGATTTGCTAAAGGGAATGAGAGATGATTTTTCTTCACTAAATAGCAAGGTGAACTCTCATGCTAATGCCATCAAGATGCTGAAAGGTCAATTGAACCTCATATCGGCTCAACTAACAACCACGATGCCAAAGGAAAATGAGGAACAAGAGCTAGCTGTAATTACCCGTAGCGGGAAGGTAGCGATAGGTAATGAAGGAGAAGAACGTGAGGAAAACCAGGGTGAGGAAGAAGCAGAAATTACCGATAATCAAAACATCAGCAAGAAAGCACAAGAAGGAATGAATCAACACAATGAAACTCCAAAAATAATACAACCCTTACCAAAATACCTCCACCTTTTCCCCAGCGTTTAGAAAAAAGAGAATGAAGATGAGAGGTTTAAAAAATTCTTGTCTGTGTTCAAGAAATTGTCCATCAACCTTCCTTTGGTGGAAGCATTGCTGGAGATGCCAGGGTATGGTAAATTCATGAAAGAGTTAGTCACCAAGAAGAGGATCTTGGATTATGAAATGATTGAAGTGCCTTATAGTTGCAGTGCGATCATGACAAAAGAGTTAATCACTAAAAGAGAAGACCCTGGTGCTTTCACCATCCCGTGTACTATTGGAATGCTCCAATTTGCCAAGGCTTTATGTGACCTAGGAGCAAGCATCAACCTGGACTCATATGCCATATACAAGGAACTTGGATTGGGAAAACCAAGGCAACTACCATGAGATTTCTCATGGCAGATCAATCGATCAAGCATCCTGTTGGGATCCTCTACGGTATCTTGGTCAAAGTGGATCGGTTCATATTTCCAGCTGACTTTGTGATTTTAGACTGTGACATTGATGTTGAGGTCCCCATTATTTTGGGAAGGCCATTCTTAGCAACCGGCAGAGCATTAGTGGATGTTGAAAACGGCAAGTTGAAATTCCGTGTGAATGACAATGAGGTAACTTTCAACATCTACAAATCCATGAAGCAACCAAGTGATATCCATGTAGTGTCTACTGAAGATGTTATAGATGAGGTAGTGGCAAGTGTTAGCCATCTACTGCGCAAGAATGAGCCTCTTGAGTCAACACCTGCAAATCATGATGATTCAGAAATTCAGGAATATGATGAAATGATCGCAGCCCTAATAGGGTTAGGAGCATATGCACGAAATGCAATTAAGTTGGATATCGACCTAAAAAACTAATGCAGCCCACCTGCAAAGCCATCAATTGAAGAGCCGCCAACTCTAGAACTGAAAGTACTCCCATCCCATCTCAAGTATATTTTCTTGGGAAATAACAACACTCTGCTAGTGATTATTTCAGCAAATCTGAGTGAAGGGTAGGTAAAAGTGCTTGTTGAAGTACTGCAGAAGCTCATAAAAGCGATCGGATGGACCATAGCTGCTACCGTGCGCAACCCGCCCGGTATCTGCACCCATAAGATTTGGCTGAACAGTGAATGCAAACCCAGTGTAGAGCATCAGTGAAGGTTGAACCCCCCGATGCAAGAGGTAGTAAAAAAGGAGATCATCAAGTGGCTTGATGCAGGAGTAATCTATCCGATTTCAGACAGGAAATGGGTCAGCCCAGTGCAATGTGTACCAAAAAAGGGTGGCATAACAGTGGTCCCAAATGCTAAAGGAGATCTGGTGCTGACTAGACCTGTAACTGGATGGAGGGTGTGCATGGATTATCGAAAGCTAAATTCATGGACTGAAAAGGACCATTTTCCAATGCCCTTCATGGACCAGATGCTTGACAGGTTATCAGAGAGAGGGTGGTATTGTTGTTTGGATGAATACTTTGGATATAACAAGATATGTATCGCACTAGAAGATCAAGAGAAAACCACTTTCATATGCCCTTATGGGACCTTTACATTCAAAAGGATGCCATTCAAACTTTGTAATGCACCGACAACTTTTCAACGATGCATGTTGTCCATTTTTGCGGATATGGTTGAGGACTCTCTGGAAGTCTTCATGGATGATTTCTCAGTCGTGGGGGACACATTTGAAGAATGCTTGACACATTTAGAGCGAGTTCTCCAGAGGTGTGTGGAAACTAATCTAGTCCTAAATTGGGAGATATGCCATTTCATGGTGAAAAATGGCATTGTTCTTGGGCATAAAGTGTTACAACAACGGCTAGAAGTTAACAAAGCAAAAATTGAGGTTATCGAGAAACTACCACCGTCGATCACAGTAAAGGGGATTCGGAGTTTCTTGGGCCATGCAGGCTTCTACCGAAGATTCCTTAAGGATTTCTCAAAGATTGCACAACCATTATGCAAAATCTTAGAGAAGGAAGTGAAATTCTACTTTGATGACTCTTGTATGGTAGCATTTAAATGTTTGAAGGAGAAATTGATATCCACACCAGTTATCATCAGCCCCAATTGGTCAGAACCATTCGAAGTGATATTGATGAGAGTGGGATGACATTAGGTGTAGTATTGGGACAAAAGCATACCAAACTGTTTCACCCAATCAATTGGTTCTTGATGTGCATAGGTTGGCTCGGATAAATGTTCAACTATTGGACTCCACCAAGGGTGGCATCATGGTCCATAATGGTTTCGGATCGTCCTTTGTGATGGATGTGAAGTCTAAACAAGGCTTTGATCCTATATTAGTTGAGTTGAAAGAGTCGGTACTCAAGAAGTCTGTTGAGTCTCTCTTCCAAGGGGGAGATGCGGTGCTTAGGTACCAAGGTCGGTTATGTGTTCCAGATGTTGATGGTTTGAGGGAGAAAATTTTAGAAGAAGCTCATAGTTCTCGGTATTCTATTCATCTGGGAGCCACTAAGTTATACCATGATATACGGGAAGTCTATTGGTAGAATGGTATGAAGAAGGATATTGCGGTATTAGTAGCCAAATGTCCTAATTGTCAACAAGTTAAGGTTGAGCACCAAAGGTCGGGAGGCTTGTCACAAGATATTCTTATTCCTACTTTGAAGTGGGAAGATGTGAATATGGATTTTATTGTAGGCTTTCCACGTACTAGGCGGCAACATGACTCAATATGGGTAATAGTGGACCGAATGACTAAGTCCGCTCATTTCATTCCCGTCAAAGCGTCCTACTAGGCAGAAAAATATACTAAATTGTATTTGAATGAGATAGTAAGGTTACATGTTGTTCCCTTGTCTATCATTTCGGATCGAGGTCCCTAATTTACTTCACATATTTGGAAGTCCTTCCAAAACGGGATAGGTACTAAGGTGAAGCTTAGCACGACTCTTCACCCTCAAACAGATGGTCAAGCGGAACGCACCATTCAGACTTTAGAGAAAATGTTGAGGGCATGCATAATAGATTTTAAAGGAAATTGGGATGACCATATGTCATTAGTGGAGTTTGCCTATAATAACAGTTCTCATTCGAGTATCGACATGGCCCTCTTTGAAGCTTTTTATGGAAGGAGATATAGGTCTCCTATAGGATGGTTGAAGTAGGGGAAATTGCTCTCCTAGGCCCGAAAGTTGTGTATGAGGCCATTCAGAAGGTCCGGGTATTTAGAGAGAGGTTGAGAACGGCCCAAAGTTGGCAAATGTCCTATGCCGATGTTAGAAGGAGAGATTTAGAATTTGATGTTCATGATTGGGTTTATTTTAAAATCTCGCCCATGAAGGGTGTTATGAGGTTTTGAAAAAAGGGAAAACTTAGTCCTTGGTTTGTGAGTCCTTACGAGATTTTGAGGCGTGTGGGCAAAGTTTCATATTAGTTAGACTTGCCAGATGAGTTGGCATTGGTACATCCGGTGTTTCATGTCTCCAGTTTGAAGAAATGTATTGGGGATCCATCAACCATAGTCCCCTTAGAAGGTTTAGAGATTATAAAGAATCTTGCTTATGAAGAGGTGCCGGTTGAAATTCTGGATAGGCAAGTATAGAGATAGAGAAACGGGGAAGTTGCCTCCGTGAAGGTTTTATGGAGAAATCATTTAGTTGAGGGTGCTACTTGGGAGACCGAGGCCAATATAAAGTCCCGCTACCCTCATCTCTTTCCTTCTACTCATATTCAAGCTTGAGGTAAGTAGTTCCTCTTGAGTTTTAGTGTTTTGGGAGTTATGCATTATTATGTTTTCATCCATGATTTCCTTATGTTATGCATGTTCTTGAGAAATTCATGTTTAGTGAGAAAATGAGTTTTCATGATATTTGTTCCTCATGTTGTTGTGCATTTAGTATGAGTAACCTTTTTGACTTTAGGAGATGAAATGTTGAGCATGCTTTAGTATGCCTTTGAGAGTAAGTCCATATTAGCTCCATGATATTGTGTTGAGCGTGCTTTTAGTTGGAGAAGGTAGTTCCTCCTATTAATATGAGAAATGTTGAGTTTCATGCATAATGGGTTGTTAGATGTAGTTCTACTTCCTTATGATTCATTGATTATGTTTGAGTTGGAGTTGATGGTTTCTCCTTTGAATTATGCATTATTTTGATGCTTCATACATGTTGGGCTGCTAGTTTTGAGACTTTAATTCTGTAAAGTGTCTAGATCTTCATTTGAGGAAGAATGTTCCCAAGGGGGAGATATTGTAACACTCTGGAAACGAGTAGGCTAAACTAGAGCTTAACATGAGGGGAAGAGTTGTAAACGTACTTCCTTGTACCTAAAAAATATAGGGTTTCCTGTTAGAATGTCAAGGTACGACCGCCAAGGACCAACCATGGGTCCTTGAGAAGGACCTACAAATGTTGCGTGGACAGTGACCCACAAAGGGGACCTACGCCCCGTAGGTCCTTCCACGCTACGTGGTCTATTTCGTTGGTGAGCACCATGGAGGCCACCTGAGGTAGTGACCCACGAGACTAGGAACCATGCTTCGTGGGTGGGTCCACGGTCCATAGGTTAGTGGTCGTGGATGGTCAAAACTCTCTGATCAGACCACGGATGGACAGCACGCCACTGAGTCCACCCACGGACCGTGGTCGTGGAATCGTGGATGAGGTCTGGAACTTCCATTTGCCAGTTTCACTTAGGGTCATTATTGGGTTTTCCGGTTTTCATTAATATTAAATAACGTCATTTTACACTAAATTAGACTAACTATATAAGGTTTTTAAATCACCAAATTAAGTCATCTTCCTCATAATTCCAAATCCCAAAAGAAAGACCCAAACACTCTCCAAAAGAAATTCTCTCTCTAGAAATCCAAGGAAGAAGAAGAATGTCACGACCCAAGGATACCCCTTGGACATAACATGGCACATAATACCCCGAAGGGGCACCATGTAAGCCACTTAGCATATCATAACATAAAGCATTAGAATAATACGAAGTAAAACACATTTCAAGTCTTAATAAGATTTTCCTAAAAGCAAAGCGGAAGTGTAGACTTGTCTCAATTGGTCATCTATTACAATACTTGAGTCAAAATAGGGTCACAACCCAAGCAATATAATCTGAAAGTTAAAATACAAGAATGAAACTACTAAATGACAATAATCCTCCTCGAACCATGAGGACTTACCACAAGCAAGGAGAAATGATTAATTCCAAGCTCTAGCCACAACGGGGACCACCTTGAGAACTGGACCCTACACTTAGGGAAAAATGTAGGGAAATATGGGTGAGTACAAAAATGCTCTAAGTATTATAGTCATGCATAAAAACCTTGAAAATTTGCTAAAAGGGACATTTTTGTTTAATGCATGCACTTTGTTAAGCTAAATCATCACCTTGAAGATAGTGGAGAAACACAAGTCATAAGCATAAGAGACAT